ATAATGTGTCACTCACTACCACGGTTCCTACCACCCAACTAATCACCTCACATCCTACCACCTCAGTCCTTCCATCATCCAGCATCGCCCCGGAACCGAGAGGTAATTCACACACACCTTTTCATCCACCTGTCCTCCAACTGAGAGTGCTAAGAGTCAGCTATGACCTGCAGGAAGAGGATCACATCTGTGTTAGTCTGGGAAAAATCACAATTCAGTTGTGTTCCTCTTTTTATAATCTGGATTAAAGTGAAGATGTGAAAGAAAACTGTTCAGTTATTATAGTGGAATTTATATTTCCTGCCAGAAAAACAAAAAGAATCTAGAAATATTGGCAGTTTGGGTGTTTTTTATTTTTATTTTTTATTAACGTGTAAACAAATGTTCAAGCAAGAGCAGCCAAATAAACAATCATATAATAAAATAAGCTCTATAGTACACTTGGCACACAAAGAGCAGATGCTTGCGGTGGGAATCAAATCAAATCAAATCAAATCAAAGATACTTTATTAATCCCAGAGGGAAATTAGAGTTTCAGTACACACAATTCAGAGATCAGACATACATGGGCAAGATACATGACAAGAATTGGTGACTGTGGTCATTCACAACCCTGAGTCGCGCTACCTTAATAGAGATAAGAGGGTTACATGAGGATTGGTTCAGGTGGAGGGAAAAAAAGGCACTTCAGAGTTACTCTCCATAGGGAGGGCAGCTTCGCTCTGCAAAAAATAAAAAAAAACACCTCAGACAGATATGCAACAGACTTCAGACATCACAACATAAGTGTTCACTAGGTGGGGTGGTGGGTGGGGACTATCCCCACTTCAGTTCCTGCAGCCACGACAAGCAGCGCATGTCACCTCAGTGTGGATAGGGGGAGGAGCATTGAGGGTTGGAGGGTTGCGGAGACCCTGGAACATTTCAGCGGCCTTCCCGCTGTCCCGCCCAGGCTGGGAAAGGAGACAGAGTTGAGTTGCCATAGTGACGGCACATTCCACATATCTTCTGAGGGGGGAGTTTTCGTTGGAGCCTTGCTGGCTCAAGGGCACCAGATTCCGATTAGAAATTGGTTTTGGGGCCAGACAGAGATAATTTCTTCTCTGTTTTACAGTTTGTTGGTCCTCAACCTCTCAAAATCCCAATAATGGACATTAAACTATCCCAATCCGTGCTGATTCGTCCACTCTCTCCTTGATGGCATCCATCTTTTGTGCCAATAAAGAATCTTGGCCAAAGTTCCAAGCTTACGATTCATCTCCACAATTATGTGAGTCTGTGAATTGACAGCGCGGTGCAAACCATCTCTGAGCTCTGGGATCAGGCCAATATTCCTTGACAGCTCGTTAATTTTCCGGTAAGCCAGGAAGCCTCCAAGGCCAATGAGCAGGAAACCTGACACCAACACCACGAATATCCACACGTCTTCAGAGTCATCCACAGACAGCTGAGATAAACAAATCAAGTTCCACTGTTTCCAGGAGTCCATGATGTATACAACTGGTTTTGTCGCGGAGGGGCATCCGGGAGCCCCTTCTCCCGTTCTCATCATTGAAATAATTGTACCAATTGTGTTGAATGACCAACCGACGAGATCCATTTTAGTGAATTTCAGTTTCCAGTTTACAGAAAAAATGTAGAAGCAGCCGTGCACCAGCACACACAGACAGACAAAGACCTTGAGGATAAGATATGGAGGAGAGGAGGAAAAAAGCGTCTGCACCCTCCAAGAGCCGGAAGAAGAAACGAGGTTAAATTCCTTCGACTGAGAGAACAATTGTTTTGTCTGGACGGGAATGTAAGGATAAGTTTAGCAGAGCTGTGAGCATCATCTGTGATGTTCTACACAACCATGCAGCTATAGAGCAGCCCTGAACTGTTGTGTAGCTCTTCAGCTTTCAATTTTATGTTTGTTGTGAAACAGAGGCTGAGACTTGTTTTCTTTAATCTATGGAAAATTGTGTAATTAAAGGTGCATGAAGTAAGAATGACATCCCGTGGTGAAGTGTGGGTACTGTAGTCCATGTTTCAAAACAGACGAGTGACTCTCCGCCTCCCGTTCCGTGAATTTTGTGGCTGTTGCCGGTTAAAGATCAATGCCAGAAGATTCTAGATGACGAGCAAAGACGAGTCATACACATATTTACATTTGACTGTAGTATTGAGTCAACACATTCTCAATCCTGAAGCATGGAAAACTCACGCTGGGTGACCAAGCATTTCTTTCCGATGCGTCGGGAGTCCCAGCGTAATGCCAGAGCATTGGATTCCGACGTCCGTGGTAAAACATACATTTCACCAACATTTAACCTCTGACCTCGTGCTATTTAACCTTTCCCTCACCCCCATCCTAACCTTAACCCTGTTACTCGTTCTGAACTTCCCGTTAACCGTGTCGGAGAGGGACGTTGCATCTAGGAACAGAATTTTGAATCCGCAAGAGGGTTAACGTTAGGATGGGGGTGAGGGGAAGGTTAAATAACAAGAGGGTAAAGGTCAGAATTTGGTGAAATCTCTGTTTTACCGCGGCCATCGGAATCCGATGCTCTGGCATAGAGCGTCAATTTCCGACGCTCTGGGACTCCCAACGTGTCGAAAATAAACGCTTGGTCACCCAGCGTCAGTTTTCCACGTTTCGGGAGTGAGAATCTGTTGATTGAGTTGGTGGTTATTGAAAATGTAGTTTAAGATGTTTTCAGAGCCGACTTTTTGTTTCTAATTCACCGTTAGCATTGTTAGCTCAACTTTAGCATCTAGCCTTCTTTACCTGATATTACAGTAAAAAAAAATAAAAAGGTGCCGTGGCTTCTTAGGGGTACAAGAAATGACTTCTGGGTCGCTCCTGTTGCTGTCTAACAAACTCTCCACAAATCTGGAGCTTTTTGCTATTCGGTGTCGAATTACAAATAACAGCGCAGCAGCATTAGCTCACACAGACTCGGCACCCTCACGGGCTAAGGTTTTAAACAAAAGCCTCCTTTATTAAAAATTTCAGACAATTTGCTGCAAGGCCGAGGCATCCGGCAGCCTTAGGTCATTTATAAGTGGTCAGACGGTGGCGGTAGTGTGGTGTGTGAGACACAAAGGGGTATAGGGTTGGTCTCTGCACTGCCACGAACTTCCGTTTATCTTGGACGCTCATTAAGTTTTTTCACAAGCCACTCCTAAAGGCATCTGTCCTCCACAGTCGCTCTACAGTCTCTGGTGACCTGACCTCCAGCTCTAACAGAGAGAAGCTCCCAGACCGCTGCATTGCTCCAGTTTACCATCTCAGCTGATTCTGGTTAAAGAGCTAAACTTATTGCCAGTGTTTTCTTTCATTTTCAATATAATTTCTAGCTGGAGCTTGGCAGTAATTCCACACGTGATCATGACATCAGCCTCTGCTGCACCAAATATGCATTCGCAAGTCTGGCGTTGCGGCAATATTACTACCAAGTGTTGCGCAGAATTCTCGCATCGCCATACCACCATGACGCATTCATAAGACACACAGTGGCTGCAGCATAACGCTGATTTGCTAGCATGGTGTGTCATCTAAAAGGGGCTAAAGACTCCACCGGTTCGGCTGAGACGAAAATCTGTTTGAATGTAACCTTCCTTCCAGCATGAATGAAACCTTAGACTGTCGTGTGATCATTTCACTGTAAAATTCTTACTTTTAATTATTTCAGTTTGCATCTAAATAAACGTTAAAACTTGTGCAAAGAAACGATTTACAGTTGATAACCCAAAAAGCTGTTAGTTGACATTAAATCTAAATGTAAAGTTTCCTTTATGATGCGATCATTGCAGCCTCCTCATGAGAACAAGAACCACCTGATTGGTCATTAGCTCTTAGTTTTAAAAAATGCAACCCCGAAACATCAAATCCTAAATTAAACACTTAAGGACAAACATCCGTTTTTTATTCTTAGAGGCTTACAGGAGATGAAGTAACACTAATAAGCTTCATCCAAAGGGTTCAAATGAAGGCAACTGGACTTCTTTGGAAGCCAAAGAAGTCCAGTTGCCTTCATTTGAACCCTTTGGATTACCATGGCCTGGATGACTGAGAACCTTCACCAGCACACTAAGCTTACACATGTCCTAACATTTGTTTTACACTTGCACACATTTCAATTAAACTTAGACTTTCAATATGTTGCAATTTGCCCGAGTTTTTAATTTTGAAACACACACTTAGAGATTTAATTAACTGTGCACAATGTCTGCAGTCACGCTCAGTGACTCGTGTTGGTGCATATTGTTGCTATAAATGCTCACAGATATAAAATAATCCAAATAATATGACCGAATGCACTGTAAAAAAAAGCAGATAGGATTGTTATTCAATAAATATACTTGCTTGTATTATTAATAATGGAGACATGTTGAAGTCTGCATGCTAGTTGCATAAAAAAGAAAAAAAGGAGGTAGTGCTCATGTTTTTTTCTGATGAACCTTTTCTTGCAAGTCATAGCTAGCTCTTCTTACCTTCAGTGTCTTTCCTCATCCTCTCCTTTGGTGTACTCACCTCTACAGCAATTTGAGAGCTCTCAGGTGCCCTTCTCTCTCTCTCACACACACACGCGCACACACACACACACACACACACACACACACACCCTGTTTACGCATTAACCTGAGTATATGTGCTTCCATATGCTAGTGTGTGTACCGTGTTCATCCAGCTCTCTGGTTTCTTATCACCGGCTGTTTGATGCCTCCTGTCCTCCTCGAACGCATCGCCCAGTCAGCGTTTGTGTTTGTGAGTGTGCGGTCTCTGCTGGCTGTCCTGGTGCTCGGTGTTAATGAGTCTGCACCAGGAGCTTAGAGACTAACTTTTGCCTCTGGAGGGCTCAGATGGTGCTAAAGAAACATATTTATCTGCACACACACATTTATAAAGAGAAAAGAGGGATGAAACATCAGGGATCCAGGTGGTTGTCTGATCCCATCCTTCTGGAAAAGTGCTTCGCTGCAGGTATGAGCAAACTTGCTTGCCTCTACTGTTGCCCTAAAACTAACTAAAATTCTCTTTTTTTATCTAAAATGCATATTTATTTCACGTATGTGCTCCCAAAAAGAGCTCCTCGGTGTAAATGATTTCTTTTCACACC